CAGTCAGGTGTTCAGGAAGGAATCGGCTTGCTCAGGACTTTGGGTTTCGTGCTTGGTCGTTTGTATCCATGGGTTGACATTATTCCTCAGGACGCTCAGGTGACTTGGTATGGCGAAGCAGAGTCTGATGACGAAGACTCTATGAGAGTATCATACTTGTTTCCACTGGTCGTCAAGACCGACAGTTTGTCAGGGAAAATGCTTCTCGAAGCATCTGATTTGCAACGAAAGAGCCGACACATTGAGATTAAAGTTTATTGGCTCAGGGAGTTGATGGATCGCAGAGTTTTGCTTTTGTCGCATGTGCCAGGAACTTTGAACCCAGCGGATTGTTTTACCAAGTGTTTGCCAACTCAGAAGTTTTTATTTTACAGGAACATGCTTGGATTTGTGAAAGTTGATTTCAGTTTGATTTCGAACATCCTTGGTTTTTGCTTGGACGTTTGTGACAACAGTTATTCAAAACCAATTTCATGTTTGTCAAGCAGGAACTGCGTTTTGTGCGGAGAACGTTTGATTTCGTTTGTTTTGGAAGAAGAACTGCAAGTTTCAGGAGATCAGAGATCATTTCGTCATGTGAAAGCTGTGTTTGCTCAAGAAACCTTGACAAACCCGGACAGTTTGCCTCTTGCTGTCGCGCTGATGGCAGAGGAAGAGGACAACAAGTCCATGGTGTCTGGATTGACCCGTGTCGATTACACGACAGGGAGACCTCGCCAGGATCCAGATACTGGTGAAGTGATGAGAAGAGATGCAAGAGTCATGGAAGTCACTGAAGCTGCACCAGAGGGAGCAGCTGCATCAGGCACTCAGGAACAGAAAGAGCCAGTGTCAGGTACGCCAGATACAAAGGAAGCAACTGCGGGTGCGCCAGTTGCAAAAGAAAGGCCTTCAGGTGAACCGTCTTCTGGATCTGGAAGGAAACCTCAGGTGAAGAAGATGCCGAAGCGCCCAGCTGCGAAGCTGATGCCTCGGAAGAGAATCATCAAGGTCAAGAGCGAGACTGGATCAGGTGCTAAGCTGCCTGGAAAGAATCGCTTCAAGAACAAGGAGACGAGGAGACGCCAGAAGGCGAAGTGGGAAGAGATTAAGAAGACTGCCAGAGAAGAGCGTGCTCAGCCTGCACCAGCCTTTGAGATTCCAGCCCGTGGAGGAGATGTACCAGTTCGAAGTTTTTTCGACCCTGTTTCAGGCAGAAGAGAGACAATGGAAGTCAAGCCAATCAACAGGGAGCAGAAGTTTCGAGCTGTGCAGTCAGGTTTTCCCAGGTATCCTAATGAGACTCGTACTTGCTACCAGTGTGGTGAAAAAGGGCATCTGAGTGCCAACTGCCCGCAGAAGATGAGGAGAGTATCACTCACTGAGGGCGTCATCAAGTACGAGGGGGCAGGGGAGACCCGGCCTCGAGTCAGGCTTCAGGGAAATATGGGGAGCATTCCTCAGGAGACCTCGGAGTTTGACGATGTCCGTCCAGAAGACTCAGCATCTCAGGTGGGCGGACAATACCTGGGAACTATGTCTACGGTTGGAGGAGGTGTCAAGAAGAACTTGCCACCACCACCACCTCCACCTCTGATGGGTGGAAGCCCAAAGATCGCCAGGAGCAGACCAGGTGTTCCGCCGCAGACTTCAGCACCTATGCGGCCACCACCAGCACCTACAGCACCAAGACTTCCGGCTAAGTTTTCTCAGGACCCACCTCTGGGAGAAGCGGCCTCCTCGAGCAGAGATGTGAGGAGACCTAAAACTCCACCCAAAACACCGCCAAAGAGACCACCAAGCAAGGCACCGCCAGTGAAAGGTGCGCCACAGAAGACCCAAGGGACAGAGAAGGCAAAAGGGACAGAGAAGTCCAAAGCGACTGAGAAGCCCAAGGCGACAGAGCCACCAACAGAGATCCGAGGTTCGGTTGGGAGAGTCGTGGAAGAGGCAGCTAAGGCGCCACCTGCGACTGTGGACCTTGTGACTCCGAGCACAGCTGTGGATGTTGGAACCCCGGTTTCAGACAGTGCGGGACATGGGGATGTCCATCTTACAGTGCCACAGGGTTCTGGAAGATTGTCAGCACTTACAGTGCACCAACCGACGCCAGCGAACTCACAGGCGGCGACGCCTACATCTCCAGCAGGAGATTCCCTTGTGGCTGGAGAAGCGCCAGGACAAAGTTCAGCTCACTGGTCGAATGCTACCGCCAGCACCGGTGGGAGGCGAGACAGAGGTTTGTGTGGCATGCCAAGGGAGTGGATTGCTGAACTCGCAGGTGAATCTGCGATTGTTCCGACTTATCGGAACGGGGCAGCTCCGTTTGGCGGGGCCGATTGCCCAAGTTGCACCAGTGACCCCGGCTCCGGCCGCACCTGCGACCCCGGCTCCGGCCGCACCTACAACACCAGCTCCGGCAGCTGCAAATCCCACTGGACCTGGTAACGGGACCGAAGTCAGTCCAAGCCTCAGTGAGAACTCAGGTAGATCTCGTACTCCAATTCGTTCAGGTGTTTGCAGTGTGACTGAAGATGGAAGTATGACCATGTTTGATTCAGGTGGAAATCTTTTGATTTTGGAGCTTGCTTGTGGTGTTGACTCAGTGATTCAAAATGCTTCTAGGGAGTTTGGATGCAGTTACATTGGAATTCATGCCGGTTTGGAGCTTTCTTCAACTCAACGTCAGGCCTATAAGTTCTTGAAGAACTTTGCTGAGGGATCTTCCGGTAGTGCGGATTCACAGAAACTGATTCAGGTACACATTTCTCTTCCCTGTACTGGGGGTAGCCCTTTGTTGGACTTATCCAAGAAAGACAGGAAACCTGCTCAGGATGCGTATTTCAGGCTTCTTGATCATTGCAAGAGATATGTTTCATATATCAAGGGCATGAGCAATGTGTGTAGTGCTGTGACTCTGGAGCTTCCGAAATCGAACCGTTTTTGGTCAGACGAGAGATTGAAGAAGTTTCTAACTGACCACGACATGCAAAAGTTTGCGGATTGTGCTGCATGTGCCATGGGTTTGGAAACCAGTCAGGGACAGCCTATTGGTAAAGTCTTTCGCATTGCATGTTCGGATCAAGTACTTGCCACAGGTCTTGGAAAGAGATTTCAGTGTAAGTGTACTCAGGACCACGCTCCATTGAATCAGGTCAACTATTCGATGACGGAAAGATACTCATATAAGTTTGCCAGATTCTATTGTCGTGCTATTGCACTTCGTTGGATTGATCAACAGGAAGAAACATCGTGATTTTGTTTGTCATTGACTGCAGTTTGCATCAGTTTGCATTTCATGTCAGCAGTTTGACTTCAGGAAAGTACAGTTTTCTTTTTCAGCTGAACCGTTCAGTGGAATTTGCATGTTTGCATGGTTCACAGCGGATTCAGGGACATTCGATTGTCAGGCACAGTTTTCAGTGAAGACTTCACTAAGTGAATTCTCAGGTTTTGTCATCAGGAATCAGATGATGACATCAGTTTAGTTTCAGGAGCCTATCAACTCCGTTGAGAGAGTGCTCGCATCAGGACGCTCATACTCCAGTTGTTTTGTTCTGTTGTGTGTGTGTGTGTTTTCTTTTTCGTGTAGCTTGGGCCGGCCGCGCCGCGTTCGCCAGCCATGGATGAGCTTCTCATTGTGGTGCTATTTTCTGCATTGACTGGAGTGATGATTGGATCTTTGGGGACAGTTGTTATATTCTGGCTTTGTGGAGCACTGGAACGTAAGACAGTTATTGAGAAAGTTAGTCCAGAGTTGAGGGATGCGACAATTCAGGCTGAATATACTCAGGCTACATCGGATGAAACGTCAGACTTCAGACAAATGCACAGAGCTCAGACTTCGTCTTCTTATCATTTGTACATTGGAACTGCGGAGAGGTGTTATCATCTTGATCGCCGTTGTCGTTGTTATCCAGATTGGGACAATGTGAAGAGAGGGCTTACAATTTGTGAAATCTGCCGTATTTCATCTTCGACTTTTGAGATTGGGCAATGTATTTTTGTTTCTGAACAAGGACAGAAGTTTCATTTGACCCGATTTTGCCGTACTTTCAAGAGTCTGCCAGTGACTGAATATGCAAGGTGCACTGCATGTTGTACACTGGAACATTCTACACAGGTTTTATTCGGAGATTCAGTACCTCGCCAGCGAAGAACTACTTCGTCAACTTCTTCTATTGCAGGTATGTCAGAGGATTAGATTTTTCTGGATTGTGATGGGACGCCATGACTTTCTGGATTGCATTGCATTGCATTGACTGCACTACGTTTTGGACGAAGACTCCATACTGACCTCTCATCGAAAGGGGGTGTGAAAATCCTACCTGGTATAGCGCTGAGAGATCAGTGACGTTGCACAGTTTTGATTTCACCAAGTATCGTCTGTGGACGAGCCTATTTTGACTTGGAACGATTGTGAATGGACAGATCGTAGTTTGTAGTTTTGATTTGACCGAATATCATCTGTGGAAGATATACTTTTGAATGTTTTTGGATGCTCTATGAAGCATAGATCATTTTGTGACACTCAACGAGCACAACCGACACTGCGGTTGCACTCGTCTCGTTTTGTAGTTGAGAGTTGTGATGTTTTTGTAGGAAACCGAACATTACTTGAACAGTTTGGAAACATTTCAACAGTTTTAGAACCGAATGAAAGCTTTTGATCCTCAGTGGATCGTTATCACTCTTTGGAACAAAGATGGTAACTTTATTTGGCCGTTGGAATAAAAGACTTTTGTTTGGCAAAAGTCTTAGTGGGGGTTAAAAAGCTTTGGCGATGTGAACAACTGGTACTACAATTTTAATGGGTCGTGTGCACTGTCCTCTTCTCCGTGTTTCCCTTTATTTGATTTCCTCCTCTCCTGTGAACATGTCAGTTGTGCAAATCAAACACTTGGGGTTTTGGACAACTGTTTTTATTTCGGGCAGTTTGGTTCAAACCTGCGTGGGAAATTTCAGCAGGGGGGTTTTGGCCATGGCATGAAAATTGTGTCCAGGCGAAACTGTAATCTGAAATGACTTCAGATGATGGTGCTGAAAAGGACGTGGGTTTGGAATTGTCAATGGGGCCTTGCGGTGAGATTGAACCGTTTGGCGAGATGTGGGACAATGAGCATTCACACAGGGACTCATACTCACCTGGTTTTACAGAGGTGTCAGACGCTCCGTCTGCGCTGGCCAGTGGCTACAAGCCAGACAATGCGCCTGAGCGGTCGTGGCAACAGCTTGGTGCAAAGCCTCTGCAACAGTTCTGGGAGCATGGTTTTTGGGGTGAAATTTTTGGTAATGACTCTGATGCCTCTTCTTCAGCTGCTCGTACAAATACGCTGGGTTTACATCGACCGATAGTGCCTATGCATACAGGTGAGGTGGAGCTTTTAGAAGATGTGGCTGGAAGAGGTTCGGAATCCAACAAAAGGCTCAAACATGCTACTTACATGGATGTGGTGTCCAATTGTTCTGTACAAACCTGGCGTGAGCAGCGAGACAGCATGTGGGAGACCGCAGTGAGACGCTGGCACAGCTGCATAATGTCCTGGGATGGTGACGATGCAATCATAGGACTGGTCAAGAACAAGGAGGACTTTAAGGCTCAGTGCCAGATTGTGGTTGACGTTCTGCACAACAAAGCACCTGCAACACTCCTGAAGAGGTGCAACAGCATTTCACGTTTGGTTAATGATTTGCACAAACATGGACGTGTTTTCCCTTGCAGTGAGGAGGACTTGTATGATCATCTTTGCAGACAGAGGGATGAGGCTGTGCCAAGCTCTCGACTCAAGTCGCTGCTGGAAGCGGTAACATTTGTCCGACATATGTTTGGAGTGGTGGGCTTGGAGCCGTGCACGAAGAGTAGGAGGTGCATGGGCGTTGCTACGCCAATTCAAGTGAACATCATTAAGCAGGCGCCACCACTTAGGGTCGAGCACTTACTGGCGTTGCATCATGTGATTGATTCAGATGATGATCCATGGAACATTTGTTTTGCAGGCATGGTTTTGTTCTGCGTTTACGGCAGGGCTCGGTGGAGTGATGCGCAGCATTCTCAACATATTGAATGGGACATGGACATGGAGGGACAAATTTGTTACGTCGAATGTTCCACTGCTGTTCACAAGACATGTCGTGCTTTGAACATGAGACATTCCTTTTTGCCGTTGACGGCGCCTGGGCTGGGAGTTGGAGAACGCAACTGGGCTGATGCTTGGAGGCGTGCGAGGTTGCAATTGGAAATTGATGACCTGTCATATCACCCATTGATGCCGGCACCCGATGAACATGGCCAGGCAACAGTCAGGCCCCTTAGCACTAAGGAGGCAGGCGGGTGGTTGACGCTGCTGTTGAGGCAGAAGGTGGAAGTGCTGAACCTGTCGGAGCCTTTGAATTACACCTCACATTCGTTTAAGGCAACAGCATTATCATACCTTGCAAAATATGGTTGCAGTTTTGAAGACAGACTTGCTTTGGGGTATCACGTTGACCAAGTGCGCATGGCGTTGAGATACAGCAGAGATGGGGCATCTCGCCCACTCAGGGTCCTTGAGACATGTCTTGCTGACATTAGAACTGGAAAGTTTAAACCAGATGTCACAAGAAGCGGACGCTTTGTTCGGAGCCTGGACCTGGGCGCAGAGCCGGTTGGTGGTGATGTTGCCGAAAACTTGCATGTGAAACAAGAAGTTGTTTTGGCTTCAAGTGGTGTTTTCGAGGCAGGTGAGGTTGTTGACATCACATCAGACCATGTGACAACTTGCAGTGATAGCAGCAGTGACGACAATGCCGTTGTCATGCCGAAGAATCCAACTCGTACCTTGCTCATTCCTCAGGGCGTTGACGTTTGGAAACATGTGAAACTTAAGACCGTTCACTTAGCCCTGGAGGGATACGTTCGGATCTTGGCTTGTGGCAGGAAGATTTCAGAGAACTACCAGAAAGGTGGTGTTGATGTGCGGTTTGACATAATTAAATGCAGGCAGTGTTTCAACAGCTCGATCCTTAAGGATGTGTAGTGTTTGCAAACCGAACTGAACAGCAGCTTGGTGATGTTTCTTGTTTTGCATGTGCAGACTTGAGGTAGGTGTGAACTGGAAAAAAACCAGTTTGACATGGGACCCAAGTTTTAGTTTCATGACATGGAGTCTCTTGTGACCCGTCTTGTCGAAAGGCGGCAGCCAGCATGAACTTTGTGGGAGGGCAATGTGCCAAGCCAGAACCTTTGTTTTATTTGTCAATGCAAGTTCAATGAGTTTTGAAAAAACAGTGCATTGTCAACAAGTGTTTTCTTTCAGGCATTGTTGCTGTCTCATGCCATAGGAGCTGGTTTGTCAGCAGTCGTGTTTGGCAATTTGATGCCAGCTAGATGGCAATGTGCGGAGCCACAACAGAGTTGTGACAGGGCACGAAACGTGAAACCTGTGAGACAGCATGGTGCCAAAGACAAAAACTGCAGCAGCGTTTCAAATCTTTGAAAGAGAGTTTTAGTGCAATAGAATGGCAAAAGACATGGGCGGCTGTGAGATAGTTTGAACCGAGCTAAACGCTCACAGGGTTCTTGTTGTTGTCATTGATGGATTAGGACGCTTTGGGAGGATCGTTGAATGGACCCAGAGTGTCACTCCGTCGTTGCACAGGCTCAGAATGCAATTCGATGACATAAATCTATGCATGAACATGGCATGTCATGTTGTTGCACTTGGCAGCCTTACTTTTGAAAAATTAGCTTTGCCTTGCAATGATGTGATTGTGCTGGAGGGTTGACATGTGAGAACCGTTTTAATTTCATGTCTGTTTTAAACGGCTTGGACTGAAATAGGACGGGCGAGTCATGGCACTGGTCGATTCGCAAGCGGCGTTTTCACTGCATTGCGATAAGATTGATGGGACAGGATGGTTGAAGGCAACAATGGCCCGCAACAACCTCAGGACGTTTTCTGATCTTGGGTTTGCAGTCGGCACACCACAGACACCAGCGGCTCAATCTGAGTTTGATCAGTTTTGTGGCACAATCAACAACGGCTTGGACATGACGATTTCGGAAGCTGCCAGGGTAAGACGTTTACATTTTGAGGCGTGCACCCTGATAGTAGCACATACAAAGCAGCAGGTTTCTTTGGACTCTTCGGTGGAAGGTGGTCGCAAGTTACCAGTGGCTGAGAAACAGGCACGATTGCAGCAGCAGCAGCAACGCCTTTCGGGACTCAGCATTTCTGGGGAGCTGCAACCCAGTTATGCCCTCATAGATCTTGCAGCCTCTATGCTGGAGAGCAATTCAGTGATATGGATCTCCCCGTCGAAGTGCTCAAAACGGGAGTCGGAGATTCAGTTGTCGGCCACGAAGGAGAAATCATCGGTGATAGCCGTAGAGCAGCACACTCTGAAGGTTACAGCAGCTGAAGATGTTGTAAAAGTTGACCATAGCACGGAGCTACAACTACAATGGGCGCTTCAGAGGCGTGGGATAGCACTAGATCAGTGCAGGCTCATCGATTGGGACGTTCATCAAAGGTGGGTGCAATACCTCCTTGGTCTTCTTGCCAAAGCGGCGCCGGAAGGATACAGCAGGATCAAGATGGAGCAGCTCTTGAAAGCAGACCGTGAACTGTTTTTGGTCATGGCACATGACTTGCAGCACTCCGGTGAAAGGTTGAGTGAGACGCCTTCACCAATGAATCAGGCGATGCCCCGCTTGATGACGGATCCCCGCATTACTATGCACTTGTTGCCACTCCCTACTCATGCTGCCAAAGCTTCCTCTTCCACCACAACGCCTGCTCCTCCAAAGAAGGAGAACCCAGCAACCCCGAAAGGAAGGGGAAAAGTGCGAAGAGAGGGCAAACAGTCTAACAAGGCAAAAGCTTTGTGCCCGGCAGAACTCAAGGATTACAAGCAACAAGACGATCAAGGAAGGCCCATTTGTTGGGCTTACAATCTCAAAGGTGGTTGCAAAGAGCCAGTGACAGAAGGCCGGTGCAAGAAAGGGGCGCATATTTGCATTAAATGCAAGAGATCCAATCATGGCTTGGCTTCCTGCCGAGTCAATTCCTGAAAAATGGCCAAGGGTGCAGCGAGTGTTTCACAGGTGCGTCAATATATGTCAGACAACAACATGGCGGATGACGCATTGCATGAGCAACATGTTGAAAACATTGTTGTGAAGGAATTTAACCTGAAGGAGGCCAAGAAAAAACTTAGGACTCTTCAAGAGACGCAAGTTTCACAAGAAAGCGATCTAAGCACACCTAAGGTGTCTGGAGGCGAGTCCAAGAAGGACAGCTATGCAGGAAAGTCTCTGGCGAACATTTTGATGGTTGAGCTGTACGCTGGGTCAGCGCGTCTGTCAAAGGCGTGCCAACAGGTTGGAGTACGCAGCATAGCAGTGGACAAGACCACTCAAAGATCACAGGGCACTCGTATTTTTGTTTGTGATGTGACGGATGAAGCGGAGCTTGGTATGTTGCAATCCTTCTTGAGCGCAGAGCAAGACAATTTAGCGTGGGTGCACTTTGCACCGGCTTGCGGAACCGCTTCAAGGGCACGTGAGAAACCTAACCGCAGCCTTGAGAAAGCCGGTTTCCGCGTGCCCAAGCCTTGCAGGTCTGATGAATTTCCTCTGGGACTCCCCCATTTGACTGGAACCGATAAGGTTCGGACAGAAGCTGCCAACCATGTGTACAAGATCACAGCAGAACTGATTAGACGGCTTCATGAGTGGGGTGTTGCCTGTACAATCGAGAACCCCACTAACAGTCTTTTTTGGAAGGTCCCGTACATTTCAGACTTGGTACAGGACATTGGTGGGTATGACGTGATTTTTGACAGTTGTTGTCATGGAGGTGCACGGAAAAAGAGCACAAAGTTCTGGTGCACGGTGCCTTGGTTTACAAGTTTAGCAGCTGCATGCCCGGGCCCGGGACAACACGTTCACAAATCTTGGACTCCATCAATAGTTGATGGGAACGTTCAGTATCCAACCGCTGAGGAAGCAGCATACCCCAAATTACTGTGTCAGCGGCTTGCTGAATGTTTCCGTTCAGCCATGTTACAGCTTGGGGCAGTTGATGTGGAGGACTTAATGCAGCAGCAGCAAGCAGAACAGCCGTCTTTGCACCGCATAATTCTTGACGCGTTGCCCAGGGGTAAGAAGTTCAAGCCCTTGGTTTCTGAATATGGCGCTTATATCACTATTCTGCATGATTCCCAAGTCCAGGACCGAGAATTTTCTTTGCCAGCAGGGGCAAAACTGGTGCATCAACGACTGGCTAAGCGGGGTGATGTTCGGGTTGATGGAGCTGTTTTTCATGAGTCAGTTGTAAGTTTTTCTGAGGAACAGGTGGTGACGGTATCACAGTTTGGAATCCCGAGATCACCGGAGGACTTTTGCAACAGAGCAGTTAAATGTGGACATCCGAGGGGCATGTCATTGCACTTGCCTGAGGTAGTAACTCAGGTGCTCAGGGACAATTTGGAGATGGAGCCCTCGGAGCTGGCATTGGTGAGGTGCCGACAGCTGGCTAGGTGGGCAGTAAGAGCAAAGCAGCTTGGTGAAGCGGAACAGCAGTTCAAGCGGAGTATGCCGGAGCACTTGCAGGTGTTGTTACAAAACAAAAGGTTGCTCCTCTTGCGTGAAATGTTGGAGGAGTTGGATTATCCTGATAAGGATTTGGTAAAAGACATATCGGTTGGTTTCAGGTTGACTGGATGGCAGGAAAAAACTGGTGTTTTCCCTCCGTGTGTCAAACGGCCGCAGTTTTCGGTGGACACGCTGAAGAAGCTTGCAAAGGGTTTGAATAGGGCCATCATCAGCCAACTTAGTGCTGAGAACGATGATGACGAAATCGTGCGGCAGACCTGGGACAACTCTGGAGGAAGTGGCGTTAGGCTACATTTGGTTGGATGACAAGTGACCAAGTATTTCTGGCCAAAAGGTTTGGGCTGTTGCAGAGGGGCGGCAAGCTGCGAGTCATTGATGACTGCTCGATTGGAGGAGTCAATGGAGCTTTGGGTGTGGTCGAAAAATACAAGGTGCATGCAATTGACGAAACAGCTGCGTTTCTGACATGGATGTTACAGTTTTCTCAGAAGGGAATTGCACTGGAAGGCCTGTCCGGTAGGACGTACGATATGAAGCATGCGTACAAGCAATACGGCATTGCAGTAGCAGACCGGGAGCTGGTGCGTCTGGCAGTGCGGAATCCGTTGGACCATACGGTGGCTTTGTTTGGAATCAACAGTCTTCCGTTTGGGGCTTCAGGTTCTGTAGGAGGTTTTCTCCGCATCAGTTTGGCGGTCTGGTATGTTGGCTTAGTGATGTTTCGTTTGGCCTGGACAGCGTATTTTGACGACTATACAATTTTTTGCAGAGACATGTTGATTGGCAACACGTCAAAGACGGTTGACAATTTGTTTGACTTGCTTGGAATCGAGGTGGCCCGTGAAGGGAGCAAAGCCACAGGTTTTTCCAAACAGTTCAAGAGCTTGGGGGTAGAGCTTGACTTAAGAGACTTCTGCAAGGCGGAGGCCCGGATTGGACACACTTCAGAAAGGCGAGAAGAGATTGGTGCCGTGCTGGATGACATCCTTAGAGCCTCCTGTGTTACCGCAAAACAGGCGGAATCACTTAGGGGCCGTTTGCACTGGTTTGAATCTTTCGCTTTTGGCCGTGTTGCCAATGGAGCTGTGAAAACTTTGGGCGATTTGTCGCTGCGGGGGTTGAAACAGGTTGTCTTGCGACCCCGGGAAATCAGGGATCTTCGTTTCTTGAGAGATAGGGTGCTGCAAGCGCCACCTTTGAAGCTGACTCCGACCTGCCTCCTGTCTTGGGTCGTTTTTACGGATGGAGCCTGCGAGGGTCCTGATGGTGCCAAAACTGGCAGTATCGGAGGAGTCTTGGTATGCCCTCGCGGGACCTTGGTTCAATTTTTCGGTGGACTGGTGCCGGTTGAGTTGATGGAGCTTTTGCTTTCCAGGTCCAAGAACCCGATTTATGAACTGGAGGTGATGCCGATCCTTGTAGCCATACTCCTTTGGGGAGCAACTTGCGAGCATGCGCAGGTGTGTTGGTACTTGGATAATGAGGCGGGTAAGTCAGCCTTCTTGAAAGCCTATGGAGCGACGGAAGTCGCTGATGGCATGGTCCAGGATTTCACCAAGCACGAGATGGAATTGCAGATTAAATCTTGGTTCTCTCGTGTGCCTAGCGCATCAAACATTGCGGATGCGCCTAGTCGCCTCGAAGACTCTTTGATGAGAGATCGGGGTGCGGCAAAAGTGGCAATCAGTTGGCAAGCCATCCGGAAAATCATAGTCTGCTGGGTTTCCAGAAATGGGGGAGATGACGGCAACAGACTTTGAAGGACTTTCCCCGGTGCTTGCAGAAAAAGGATTGCGGTTGCCGCATCGGTTGTGCAGTGAGAAAGCCGTCTTGTTTCAGTGCATGTATTTCCGTTTGTTTCGGTGGAAACAATTTTTTTTAAATAAATTTTTGAGGGAGAGAAGTTTTTGGGAAAGAGGGCGAAATAAGGAAAGAAAGGAGAAAGGCAATGTGGATTGAATATAACCGCCCTGAGGAAGTGGACGACCTTTTGTAGTGAAGGGTTCACGTCGCGTATCCAGGCAACCGTATATGCACATACATTTATATACATGTTATGTATATGGTTGCTTTGTACATTATTGTGGGACCCCCACGTTTATTCCATTAGGACTAAATAAGTTATCACTCTTTGGAACAAAGATGGTAACTTTATTTGGCCGTTGGAATAAAAGACTTTTGTTTGGCAAAAGTCTTAGTGGGGGTTAAAAAGCTTTGGCGATGTGAACAACTGGTACTACAATTTTAATGGGTCGTGTGCACTGTCCTCTTCTCCGTGTTTCCCTTTATTTGATTTCCTCCTCTCCTGTGAACATGTCAGTTGTGCAAATCAAACACTTGGGGTTTTGGACAACTGTTTTTATTTCGGGCAGTTTGGTTCAAACCTGCGTGGGAAATTTCACCCACCCACCGCCCAACGTAGTTCATATCTGGTCATGCTTGACCTCGACCTGGATTCCATTGAGGATTCTCATACAGAATTGCAACGGACTCAGCAGGTCCTCCAATTTTCTTTTGATGTCGGTCGGAGTCGACCTTTGTTCCACACACCATTACTGGTGGTGACGTATATGGTACATCGGTACAACTGGCTGGAAGTCGGAATTTTTGTATTTTTGACGGCTACGGACCAGGCCGTACTTTCGGCCATCAACTGGGCCGCTTGGGACGAATATATGGAACGGTGTTCTGACGACCTTCCTGATGTTTCCCCCCACCTGGGTGTACCGGTGCAGCAGCCCCGACTTCATGGAGCCTAACCCTGCCGTGCGATGACGGCAACAGACTTTGAAGGACTTTCCCCGGTGCTTGCAGAAAAAGGATTGCGGTTGCCGCATCGGTTGTGCAGTGAGAAAGCCGTCTTGTTTCAGTGCATGTATTTCCGTTTGTTTCGGTGGAAACAATTTTTTTTTAAATAAATTTTTGAGGGAGAGAAGTTTTTGGGAAAGAGGGCGAAATAAGGAAAGAAAGGAGAAAGGCAATGTGGATTGAATATAACCGCCCTGAGGAAGTGGACGACCTTTTGTAGTGAAGGGTTCACGTCGCGTATCCAGGCAACCGTATATGCACATACATTTATATACATGTTATGTATATGGTTGCTTTGTACATTATTGTGGGACCCCACGTTTATTCCATTAGGACTAAATAAGCTTTTCGGAATTTCGTCAAGACTGGAATACAGTTTGCAGTTTAGACAAAAACCCCTCCTTGGTTTTTGTCACCTTTAAACAGTATTTGAACTGAATGGTCAACGATACTCGTTGGCTCAAGCCCGAGCGAGAGAAACAGAGTGTGTGTTGAAGCGTTGCTTGTTGTCTGGAGTGATTTGAGCGAGAGAGCACGGAAAGTTTGACTCACGTTTGTTTATTTGTGGAAAAGCCTTTGGGTAACTTTGATCGCGATAGGTTTTGTTTTGGTTTTCAAGGCACAACTTAGCGGTGCAAAGTTTTACGACCAGATACCTAGAGGGAGGTACCAGCGTAAAAACTGGGCCAGGGCGCCACACGGGACCAACCGCGGGGGGAGGGGAACAACATCAAATAGGGAGGGAAAAAAGAAGCATCAGACAGGAACACGAGAGCCCAGTAGGACGAAGCCCAGTAACGACCTGGCGGAAGCCATGAAGGCGTTAGACGGAAAAAAAAGCCCAGTAGGGCGAAGCCCCAAAGGGATCGAAAAACCGCACAAAGGACAGAGGACGGCAGAGAAAGCATGACTCAATTTGGACCGCACAAGAAAAGGACATGCAAAAAAGCGGGGGGGCCACGAAACAGAACCCCACCAAGGCAAAAGGGCCCCCACACAACCGCAGCCAGTGGGAGCAAAAAGGATGTGGCACCTAAATGAAGAGTGCAAAGCAAAAAAGGCAAACGACCCGAAAAAGTGGGAGGAGAAGGAAGGAAAGGAGAATCGCTACGTCTGACTCCGTGTGGTGTATTCAAGGTGGTGTTGCTTGTCTGTTCGGAGAGTGTCATTCCAGCTGTTCCCAATCGCAAAGGAGACAGGGTTAGCCCTTTCTGCCCTTGCGGCAAGGAGCCGAGAGAAGCGGTATAAAAGTGTACAAAAATTATGAAACCCTTTTGGCTTCACAAACGAGGAAAACCATGGGAAAAAACCTAGAAAACAAGAAACAACAACAGCGACGACGCGCAAATCTTCCGGCCAGATTTGCGTTTCGCCAGCAGAGAAAACAGCAAAGCAACACAAAACGGGGCCGGAGCCGCACCAAACAAATTACTTTACTTCGTGTGATCCCCACCGTGACATTTTTACATTTTCTGAATGGCAAATCTTCTGGCATTCTATCTGACATATCTTCTGGCATTCTATCTGGCAAATCTTCTGGCATTCTATCTGGCATATCTTCTGGCATTCTATGTGACATATCTTCTGGCATTCTATCTGGCATATCTTCTGGCATATATTCTGACATATCTTCTGGCATTCTATCTGGCATATCTTCTGGTATATCTTCTGGCATTCTATCTGGCATTCTATCTGGCATATCTTCTGGCATATCTTCTGGCATATTATCTGGCAAATCTTCTGGGATTCTATCTGGCATATCTTGTGTCATTCTATCTGACATTCCATCTGGCATATCTTCTGGCATTCTATCTGGCATATCTCATGAGGTCCGGCAGGGAACACTGGGCGTGGATGGTCGTGGTTGAGGGCCGGCAGGGAACACTGGGCGCGGATGGTCGCGGTTGAGGTCCGGCAGGGAACACTGGGCGCGGATGGTCGCGGTTGAGGTCCGGCAGGGAACACTGGGCGCGGATGGTCGTGGTTGAGGTCCGGCAGGGTCACTGGGCGTGGATGGTCGTGGTTGAGGTCCGGCAGGGAACACTGGGCGTGGATGGTCGTGGTTGAGGTCCGGCAGAGAACACTGTGGATCGCGGGTCGCAGTTGAGCAAGGACAACGAGGACGACGAGGAGGAGGAGGAGAGGAGGACGAGGCAGGACGAGGCGGAGGAGGAGGAGGAGAAGGAGGAGGAGAAGGAGGAGGAGGAGAAGGAGGACGAGGAGGCAACTGACATAAAATCTAACAACCCTCACCTGGCAGGTGGGGAAAAACTGGTTGGAATGATGGTCCGGCAGGGAACACTGGGCGTGGATGGTCGTGGTTGAGGTCCGGCAGAAAGAACTGTGGATCGCGGGTCGCAGTTGAGCAAGGACAACGAGGACGACGAGGAGGAGGAGGAGAGGAGGACGAGGCAGGACGAGGCGGAGGAGGAGGAGGAGAAGGAGGAGGAGAAGGAGGAGGAGGAGAAGGAGGACGAGGAGGCAACTGACATAAAATCTAACAACCCTCACCTGGCAGGTGGGGAAAAACTCTTGGAATATGCAGCAACAATGTTGCGAAAAGCTGCTCTGCACAAAAGTAGCAAGAAAGCATGGGGTGTACAGTCCGCGAGTGGTTGCAGGAATCCAAGAACGCGTCTTGCTCTGTCATCAGTTTCTGGTAGCACATTCAGTTGCTCTGAGCAGTGCCGTCTTCCGGCTTCTCCAAATCAATCTCACGAATAACCTCAAAACTCTGATCAAATAAGTTCACAAAATGAAATTGCCAAGACATAGGTCAAACAACATCCAAAAACATCAAAAAAATAAACGAAAATCCGTCTCCAAGCTGCAATTTTTGTGAAAATTTCACCTGTGGTGAGATGAATCCATTGGGCGACCCGATGGCTCAGTTGGTATGGCGTTGGTCTTGCCAGCACTGGCAGACTGCCCGTGGTGGTTCGAATCCCTGCTTTTTTTTCCGTCCAACGCCTTCATGGCTTCCGCCAGGTCGTTACACACATTCAATCGCGGCAAACAGTTGAATTGCAATTTACATGCAGGGCTGTCAACTTGTCGAAAGCCACAAAAGTGCTGGTAGTGGACCAGTACGTAGTCCAGAAGCTGTCCCAGCAAGAACAGGTGGTTCGAATCCCTGCTGGTCCACTCGGAAGTCTCAAGTGCGACCCGCCGAAAGGCAACGGGCGCCGACCTCAAAAAAATGTGGTGAGATGAATCCATTGGATCTTTTCTGCATTGGAGGAAATGAATTTGTTTTTCACCTTGATGGTGAGCTCAACAGTGATGGTTGTCATCGTCTTTGCAGGTTTCGTGCATTGCACATCTTATTGAAGATGACGAAACTCTGCAACGATATATTTTTCGTCTTCTTTAAGTACTGTGATTGCACGGAGAACACAGTGAGGATTTGAATTCGTAGAATGAAATGGAAAATCAATCTATTTTCCATATCTTTCACTTTAGTTTTTGTCGACGAAGTGCATTGAAGGAGATTGAGGAAGAGTACGATTTTGCTGTCTGGTTTTTGCTTGTTCTGGTTTCTGTTTTGTGTTGGTGGATTTCGACAGAACACAGGACTATGTATAGGTC